AGGCCCGCGGGGTGCTCGATGGTTCTGGCCGGAGCAGGGTCCCCTCGCGGTCGGGCGGCCTCTGCCTGAGCTGCCCGGGTCTCGGCTTTCCGAGCCCCGCGTGCAGCGCAGCTCCGGGGCGGGCACGCGGGAGTTCCTGGTGCCAGTTCCAGACAGAAAGTTTGTCTGACCGCGACGGTGACCCGGGTGGACTTGGGGGAGGAACGGGTCCCTAAACCTGTATGTGTGGCGGGGTGGGGGTTCGCAAAGGAGGCGGTGGATTGGGCCGGGGGTGCGGAGCGGCGCAGAGGCCAGACCTGGAGGACCCGGAGGCGAGATTGGAGAGGAGGACCGGGGGAGGGGGGGGGGGCATCCCAGAGACCAGAAGGTGTGGGGGTGCTCGGCGTAGTGGAGGTCGGGGTGCGCGCCGAGAGCCCAGCGGCCGAGCGGAGTCGGACACGCGGACTGCTGGGCCGGGCTCGGGACTGGAGACCAGGCCGGGACCAGTCGGAGGGAACCCTCGAGAGCTCCCGGGCGCAGGCAGGGGAGGGCTTTGCGCCGGGAAAGGAGACCCTGGGAGAGCTGAGTCCTGAGGGGCGGCCCCAGCACACAGTGGCGCTCCATCAAGTAGGGCGCCTCCGCCGGCGTTTGGGTTCGGCCAGTAGGATCAGGCTCTTGGTTCTCGTGGATCCAGGATCGTGCAAAAAGCAGTAGAAGCGGGAAGGGAATCGCACAACCACATCGTACACTCACGTGCTCACACGCGCTCGCGCGCGCACACGCACAAGCGCTTACACTCACACGGCACCAACACACTCCCACCCTGATTATCCTAGAGTCAACTCCATAGGGAGCGGGGAGCTCACGGGGACCGCCGGGTCCGAGCTAGAACGTTTCCGCAGCGTCACCCTGCACTGCCCGGGAAGACGAGATCTAGGGCACCGTCGAGCCGGGACCGCAACAGGCTCAGTGCCCTTGGCGCCCCAGTCCAAAAGGCATAGGTCGCAGGTCCTCCTGTCCCCACAACTTCCCACAGTCAAAGGAAGCAGGCAGTGCAGTCTTGGGGCACCAACCAGGCAGGAACGCGGTGCTGTCAGGGGACAGGGCCCAGGTACTTTGGTCTGCAGTTTGTCAAAGAGAAGGGCTGCCTGACCTTTCCCCCAAAGCTTCAGAGGGCGGAAGTCAGCTTAGGTCTCCCACTTCTAAACTGTTCAAATAGGCAATCAATTTTTATGATGTAATTTATAATTTATGCAGGTTGTCTTCATACATATGGTGTTGCTTTTGTGTGTCGGGGTTTCAGGTGCTTTATTACTCTGACGGTGTGATTTGCATTCATGTTCAGTTACCAAGATCATATTTCTCCTGTTTACACCATAAGGGCCCCGAAATGAAGACTGATGCTGCCTCCCTTTGTCCAGGCCATCCCTGTAGACCTCAGGGCTACCCCCAGACCCTAGAGCCCAGCTACCCCAGAATCCTCCAAGTTGTGAGGGGAAGGAAGATGCACCTTTCCAAGCCATCTGGGAAGTTCTGGAGCACCAGAAGTCAGATCAGGTGGCCTGCTTTGATTGTGTACACTAGGGCTTCGGCTGAGGGGTTTCTGGGTACAGAAGGAGGTGCATATACACAAGCCATAGCGGGGGGGGGGGGGGGCAAGCAGGACACTCTCCTAATCATAGCCCAAGTCCAGTAGGTGAAAGGAAAGGGCAGCAAGCCCTAATCAACAGCCAGGGCTGCCAAATTTTGCAGGCTACAACCACTCCGGACAACCACAGGGATCTAGGAGGGCCTTGCGGTACTCAGTGGAGACACAGTCCCCAGCTGGGGAGCCATATATTCCTCCAGGTTTTTTATGCACCCCCTAACAAGGAGGGCAGCAAGCAGCTTTGCTCTGACTAGGCCCTGGGCTAGAGGGATCAACCTCGGCAGGCCTGTGCCAGGTCTGCTAGAAGCAGCTGAAATGATTGGCCCAATTAGGCTGAATCCAGCAGCAACAAGGGGGACAAGCCCTGGTCCCCAGAGAAAGGACATCTTGGAAGGCAGTACATGCAGACAGTCACAGAGTCAGGATGTTTCTGGGAAGCAAATCCCAGCTGGAGATGGCCAGGAAGACTCCCTACCCCCTATTTAGCTAAAAAGGTGCCAGTGGAAGAACCATTCTGGGGACTGAAGACTAGGAGACAGAGGCTGGCTGCACAGCATGCTCCACATCTTGAAAATTCCAGTGTAGGTTGGGTTTGGAGAGGGTGGCTTCAGTTGCAGGGTACCCCAGCCTCCAAAGGTAGCTAAAGGAGGAGGCTGCTTTAGGCTCAGGACCAAAAATATTTGGCTTCAGCTTTTCAAAGTACCCTCGGTTTTCCAAAGGGCTGGAGGTGCCTGGCTCTCTGAGAGCAAGGGCTCCCGGGGAATGAGGACTGGGGGCACAGGGTCAGATGGCTGTTCCTGTGGCCCCCTTGGGCCTCTGCTTAGGTCAAAGGACCCAGGCTGCAGGCAGCCCCAGGCATCCCACCGCACAGCTGGGGGCGCAGGTCCACTGTGCTCTCAAGCGTAATTATTTGATCTGCAGATGTAAGTGGAATTTATTGTAACAACAAATATAGTGATGTCAAAACCCAACCTTGGATTAAAGCCGGCAGCCAAAGGGGAAGTGTATTAATTTCCAACAGCATCTCAGGCCAGAGCCTATTAGAACAAGCTATTCTTCAGGCCCCCCCATCAGAATTAATCATTGGGAGTTAATTTGAAGCTCAGACAAGTTGCTGTTAATTTAGTGCAGGGAGGACGGGATGGAATAAAAAGCTGAGGTGCTGGCCGAGCCTCGTGGGTCTCATTAATCAGCCAGCTGAGACGGCCTGGCTTGATTACAATTTGCAAAAAAATTCATTAGGGCCCGGGCGATTGACAATTTTTCTCTCTGCCTGTGATGTGACTCATTAGGCAGCCAAATGAAAGCCATGATGACGGCCATGATGACAGCGGCCATCAAGCGCCGCTTGTTTATCTTCCTCCCCTCGGCCTGTCTCCAGGGCCTCTGACTGGCGCTGGGCTCTCTGAGCTTTTGGTGCTCAGGGGGTGGGAGGGAGGAAACTGCGTCCTAAAAGGGCAGGAGGGCCTAGGATGACTCCAAGGCTGTCCCCTCCTGGTGCTTCCAAAGTGTGAGGAGTGTGGCTGGGGATGGCTGGGAAGCTTGGGTCCTGGGATGGGGTACCTGAAGGCCATCTCCTTCTCCCAGGGAGCTTCACTTTACCGTGGGGTGTGTAACCAAGGTGGCTGCCGCCCCTCTTTACCTTGGGCTTTTGGAGAAGGCCAAGTAGGGTTTACAGGGTACAGTGGAAGGGCATTTGGGAGCACTCTAGGATCTGCAGGGAATGCTGGACTTTCAATGTCCAGGATTTCTCTTTCAGAACCCGAGTGTCACTGGGGCAGGAGTCCTCATGTTCCTCTTGTCCTCGGGCTGCATTCTGCCACCACTAGCCATAGTCCCCTCGGGGCGCATAGGCGGCCCAAGGATATACTGCCCAAGAAGTCCAGGTGTATGTATATAGGGGGAGGAGAGGACAGCGTCCCTGCGAGTCTCAAATATCGCAGTACCAGCGGGCGGCCAGTGGAGACCTGCCCTGAACAATAGCGCCCAGGAGCAGCTGGGCCTTGTGGACCAGGCGCTGGGGCCCGGCGCGCCCGCCGGCGCTGTCCCTCTTCCCTTAGGCGGGAGCTGCCGCAGTTCTCCACGCCTCAGCCGGCTGAGGCCCTCGGAGGACCGGCCGCTCGGATTTACTGTGCTCAAAACCAAGCCCGGGCCATTTTCCGCCACCGGAAGTGTTCGGAACGCGGCGGGAAACCGTGACTCCGTCGCTCCAGGCTTTCACTCGGCGCCTGAAGTTCGGGCGGCGGCCTCGGTCCCCCGACCGGTGACGGGTTGTGAGCCATATAAATTAAGTCAATATTCGTATTGACCCTTGTCGCTGTGTCTTGGGCCGAGAAGGAGCAAGTGCGGCGCCGCGGCTCTGCCGCCAGCTCCCCGGGCTCCCTTCCCTTCATTTGGGAGGCTGAGCTGGCGAAGCCACCGGCTTCTCTTGCTGTGGGCCGGTGGTTTGGTGGCGGGAAGAGCTCTGGCATCACGACCACACTCACGCGCGCTCTCCACGTTTCCGGGACACCCGGGGCCTGCCATCCCAGCCTCTCGAGGGCCTGGTGGCGCTGGTTCCGCGAAGAGTCTCGGGTGTGAAAGGGGGCCCGGGCGCTGGCGGGGCTCGGGGCGGGGAGCAGTGGGCTCGGGGGCCGGGCACGCCCCGCCCGCGCCCTGCTGGCCGCCCCTCCCAGGCGGGTAGGCGCCCGGCCCTCAGGCCCTGGCGGACGGTCCCCAACTCTCCGCGCTCCTCTCCTCTCCCCTGCTGTAGTACTGACTGCCCCGCGCCGCGGGGTGGGGCGGTGGTCCGGGCCCGCCCCTCGGACCCCGCCCGGAGGGGGAGGTTCCCGGCCCGCCCGAGCTCACCGCCCGCCTCCGCCTCCGAGCCGAGCGCTGCCGGGAAGCGGCTTGGCTTGCTGGGTTCCTGCTCCTGTCGGAAGATAACGCCTGAAGACTGATTTATGGACCTTCGGCGCTGCTGGCGAGCAAGCACCGCTGCTTTTCGGGACCAGGATGTTTAAGGAAACGTGTTTCTTCCCTGGCTGTAGTCGATTTAGAGCACCCGCAGTTTGTGCAAATCCACCATCACCCACACTCGCGTTCCCTCTTCTAGGCACCCTCGCCTCTGGCTCCCTAGGTATTGATTAGGCTGGGCAGAAGAGGACATGCTAAATATCTAAGGTGGAATTGGGTTTTCTGAAATTCATAATCCTATTGGAGCTCTTGCCCTCCATTTCAAGACCTGGTACGGTGCTGCATGAATCATGCCCACAGGCCTTAGGACAGCTGGACCTGGGAGTTTATCCAGTAAGGGCCCCAGACCAGTTGCTCGGCCACACCCTTGCAGAGAGCCCTTGGAACAAATTCTGGACACATTTATGAGGCCCAAGGATTGATTTTTTTCCTTGTTCCTTTTTATTATTCACAAGACTGAGATTGTTTAAATGTCATAACTTATAAGAAAATAAACTACATTGAAATAAATTAAACACAACGGAGACGCGCTTCAGACATGGCTCAGATAGGATAAGCAACCCCAAGAAAGAAAGCCAGGCAAAGCAAAGCAAAGGAAAGCAAAGCAAATTCCAGGCTGCCCAACACTCTCTGCTTTGCGGTCAACTCAAAAAGCCAGAATAGAAACAAAAATAAGTTTAAGCCCCAGTGTTTGTTCTTGTGTTTCATGTTTACCTTTGGAAAAGTATGGAGAGATGGCTGCTAAGCACGGCAGGTTACAGCAGAGGGTTTGGTTTCTTCTGGAATGTGAGTGGAGAATATTACTAGGTAATTTGGTCCTATAACTTTCAAAATACTGCAGCTGAGATCCAGTCTATATAGATATCTATGTACAAAGTAGGATAGTATAATAAATATTTAGTGTATCTTCAGGTGTGGCTGTAGCCCCTTCAAAAGCAGTCTTTTAAGCCTGTTTAATGGATATATTCTCGATTTGCTTGGGATGTCCACGTCTGGGAAGATTTTGAGTTTCGCTTCACACACACAGTGGAGTCCACCATGGGTTCCCTCGGGTGCTGGGTCTTCTCCAAGGCTGCCAGCGGTGGCTGGGCCCTCAGGGTCGGGCCTGCTCCAGCTGCTGATGCTGACTTCTAATAGCGAATCTGCTGACATGGACAGGGATGGGGACGACAATCTTGGGGTTCCTGGAGGGCTCCCCCGTCTTGGAGTTAGCATTGCCCGCCTTCACCCGTTTCCACTTGGCTCTGCGGTTCTGGAACCAGATTTTCACCTGCACCTCGCTGAGTTTGAGGGCGTGGGCGATCTGCGAACGCTCCGTCAGGGAGAGGTACTTTTTGCAGTGAAACTCCTTCTCCAGCTCCAGCAGCTGCTCGCTGGTGAAGGCAGTCCGCCGCCGCCGGTTCTTGCCTGTGGACGTGGTGCTGCCTGCCGCACTGCCGCTTGGCGGGGTCTCCTCCAGTGCGTGGCCTGGGTCTTCCTCCTTGTGAGCGGCCTGGCCAGTCAGATTGTCATCCGAGCTGTAGTCCACATCGCTCTCCAGCGAGAAGCTCTCTTCCTTGCCCTTCGGGTCATCTTCCACCTTTGACTCGTCTTTCCCTTGCCCTCGGACAGCCCCGACTGAAAGCAAAACCAAACGGCGTTTTATTACATTTCGCACACTGGCCTTCCTTTCCCCTTCCCACCGTCACTTGGGCATTCCCCCACCCCTTTGCGGATTGTCTTTCTATGACATTAACACATTGTGATTTCCTGGCCTTTGAGGAGTAGAGAAGGAGGGGGGAGCGTGAGAAAGCTCAAAGGAGAGGAGGAGACAGCATAGGCGACGGCCCTTTGCCCAGAACCATCACTCAAGGGGCCGCCAGTCTCCTGCACACACCGCCAGCCTCGGTCAGCTTAAGGAGAGTAGCAGGGCGCATGAGGCCCAAGAGAGGGTCCCCTTTGTCCGGGGGGGGATCAGGGATGGATGAGGACTTGGGGGGGTGGTTCACATCCATCCTGCCTCCACCCCCAGCACAGTGAAAATCTAGTGAATCTCAATTTCATCGCAGCTGGAGCTAGGGTGGAGGCTCGAGCAAAGCCAGACCTTGTCTTTTTTGAGACCAATGGTAATGTTTGTCAGAGGGATGTTTCATAGCCTTAGGAGAAGTTCCCACCAGACAGCTCAACACACACACACACACACACACACACACACACACACACACACGACTCCCAAGAATTCGGGTCTCCGAGGCAAGCAGCAGCCCAGTGAAAGGGTTTAATAAGTCTGAGCGCCCCTGGGCAAATGCACAGATGAGACGCACTGCCCACCGGCATCTCCTTAAGGCTTCAATCTACCCGGGACCCCAGGTCCTCGTGGAGTTGGAGTAGATTGGGCTAAATTCGCAGACCAATATGCAGCCCCAAGCAGCAGCTGGCTGGGGGTGGGGGAGAGCGCTAAATGCCCCTTCCCCAGAGATCCTGCTTGTTGAGTTTTTGCGTGGCCTTACGCGGCAGCCGGGGTCGGGCGGGGGCACGGTGTAGCCCCCAGGTTCCCCGGGGGGCTGGAGCTGGCCCGCCCCCTGTCCTCGCGTCCCCACGTTCCGGCTGCGCGCGCCTCACACTCACCGAGAGATGCCTGCACCGCCTCGGCAGCGGAGAAGGCGAGCAGCGAGCCCTCCTTGGAGAGGAAGCCTTTGCCGTCCTCGGTGTCGGCTTGCAGCGCCTCCGCCTTGTCGAAGTTGCCGCCGCCCGGCAGAGGCTGAGGCGCGAACTTGCGGGCGGCCGCCGCCTCCTGATGCTGGGGCGACGCGGAGAAGCCACCTGGCAGCGTGGCCATGAGCGTAGAGGTGAGCGCCATGCCCTGCGCCAGGCTGGAGCAGAAGCCAGTGGGCAGGCTGGGGATCTGGTGGTGAGGGTGAGCGGGCGGCAACGCGGGCTGCAGCGCGGCCTGGGGCAGCGCGGGCGGCGGTGGCGGCGGCGGCGGCAGCACCACCGGCCGGTAGGGCATGAACATGGGGTAGCCGGTGTAGACGAAATGGCCGGGGCTGGGCTGCGGCGGGCTGCCGATCAGCGAGTCTATGCTGAAGGCGGTGCTACTCCCCAGCGGGCGCTGCATCATCATCAGCGACGGCGGGAACGCTGCGCTCATAGACGCGCTGGGGAGAGGCCAGGGAGAGACGAAAAGTCCCCGCGCCGCGCCGCTGCCGGGAAGCCCACCAAAAGACGCGAGCACTACCCGGAGCGCCGGGAAGGCGCCAAGCGGGACCCGGAGAGCAGACTCCGCGGCCACTCAGTCCTGGGTCCACTGCATGACCGGCGGGCGCGGGCGCGGGCGCGGGAGGTGCGTGGGGTGAGGCTGTGCGCCGGGGTTTGGAGAGGGCGCTCCGGCCCTGCGGGCTCTTTGGAGCCGCTGCCCGCTGCGAGTCGGTTGGAGTCCGAGAGCTTCACGTCTGCGGCTCTTTGCCCAACTAGCAGCCGTCGGTGCGTCCGTTTGTCCTTCCCGCAGTTCGTCGCCTCCCGCGGGCCGCTGGGGAGCGCGGAAAGCCGGCGCACTTGTCTCTGGCGGGCGCCGCCAGCACCTTTAAATCGCGCTCCTCTTTCTCATTCACATTTTGCCTGCTGCCCAGCAGATCCCGCCTCACGTGGGGCCAGGCGCCGCCCCCCATTGGCTGAGCAGGGCGTGGGCGGGGCGAATCAGACTCCGCCCCTCCTTCCTGGCTGGCGGAGAGCTAGCTGCGGGCGCCACCGTCGGAGCGCTTGAGCCAGAGAGCAGGATCCCTAGCGCCGGGACCGCGCAGAGCAAACTTGAGAGGGGCCGTTGGTACCCAGACTCACACCCTAGGGCCCTGCAGCCGTGTTAAGGCCGCTTCAAAAGGCGCCTTCCTTGCTCTCATCCGCCATGGATGGGCCGGGAGCGTTTTATTTCCTCTTATATTTGCAATGGAACAAGCCTGAGGCTCACCTTGTCTCTGGTGCTCCGGCTGAACCTGGGGTTCGGACAAGGTTCTTGGATTTAGGGGGAGGGTCTTACCCCTGCAGATCCACCCCCAGGGCGCGCGGGCCAGGAACTGTCAGCCCCGCTTGCTGCTGGGAACCTGCCGAGTTGCTAGCTGCGTCCCTACACTCCTGCGGGGAGGGGAGGCTGCTGGTCCCCTATTCGGAGCTGGGTCCTCCCGTGAACGATCCCTTCTCATTTTTCATGACATTCTTAATCATCGCACCTATTTACCCACTTTGCCAGCGCGCACCAAAATAACAACCACGATAATTATGATAATAAAGCGAGTCCTTTATCTGCTCCATCCTCGGGGAGGGAGGAAGGGGGAGTTGCTATGCCCCCGGATTGTATAACGTGAGATTATCCTGATGAAAGCTTTATGATGTTTGCTCAAATAAAAGCTGCGTTTTGTAAATAGGCGCTAATTAAGCACGTTGGGAACGGAGGGAGCGCTCACCCTGGCGCCGCCGCCCGGTTTCCAGCGAATGGACTCGAGGGCACGCGATTCCCCTTCGACTGCAGGATGAAGCTGATTCCCTCAAGATATTTCCCCCGTTTCGACAATGGTAAAGACACTGGAATTTGGGTATTGAGGGGGTAGGGAGGACATGGGATGTTCTTATCTCCTCCTTTATGTTAAAACAAACTTTTCAGCTCTCGTATTCCCTTTTAGAAAGGAATCATTTCGTGGCAGGGGCAGACCGTGCAAAACGCAGTACCGCGCGCGCAGGGCTTCCACGCATCTCCAGGGCCTCGGTTTCAACTTCCTGGGTCTAGACGTCCTACCCGAATTGCCGACAGCACCCGGCCAGGGAGGAGAGGAGGGCATTGTTACATCGGTCATTAAAAACCAGCTCACGCCGAGGAGCTAGTGGTGGGGAGTTGGCCGGTGTTGGACGTGTGTTATGTATCACTTACAAGCACATTTAATTGGGAGATAAAGATAAATCGATCTTTATGAATTTATCGACCCGATTCTTTGAAGCTCTTCTTTCTCGTTCTTGCTCTTTCTCTCGCTGTAACCCCAAGCCCCCCCACCCCCGGGACGTCTTAATCCCAGACCATTTCCTCAGCCAGGAGTCTGGCCAGAGAGCCTCTGCCCACCCGTCAGGCCCAGGAGGTAAGACCGGAGGGTGCGTCCTCGGCGCCCTGGGGTGCTGAGAAAACTCGCTGGCGGGGCTGCCAGCCGCCCTCCTCCTATCCTCCTCTCCCCTCCTCACCGTCACCCGGACAAAGACGTCTCGAGCGCGTTTCTCCACTCCAGGCCGCAGTAATAGATGGCTCCGGCAGCAGGCGGCTTGAAAGGAATTCATTAGGACGCTGCCTGTGTTGCCTCCCCTCACTTCACGGCCAGACCCGTGGTGGCCTAGGCAGCGTGAGGGGAAATTAATTCCCATCGGGGTCCACGGGGAAGGAGGTGTCGTGGGGTCTCTGAGCTCTCTCCCTCATTCTCCATTTCCACAAAAGAAGAAAAAGAAAAAAGATCGCAGCCCAGGGCAAAAGGCTGATTTCTTCATGAGAATAATGAATACTCCCTCTCATTATGAGATAGTTACAGTCACAGTCTCGAGTGCCATTACCTTGTTTTCGAATACTAAGAATAAACGTTTCCTTGATTTACTTGCTACAGCGGGGTCCCTTCTCCTACTCCTCCGGCCACTGCTGTATCTGTGTAAGCTGTTAGGCGTCTGACCTAGGCAGCTTTGCCAGCCACTTTGCTATTTGGGGCTAAGATATTGTTCCAGGGGCTTCCATTACCTGATTACTCCCAGAGGGACAGGTATTCCTCTGATGATTTTGGTGATGATTCCACATTTAAAGTTCAGCAAGAAGATTTAGGTCCGTTAAATTATAGCTATGCTTGAAGTAATTTGATGGCATATTATTTGCATCTATAAATTGCCATGAAAAGTATTGACTGCAGGGGTTATGATACTAATCTTTTATTAGTGAGTTCAGATAATTCTCATCAATATGAATTTTATTTACTAGTATGCTATTCTCGAGTGCAAGGCAGTAATATTTTCTCATCTAATGCTTAACTGCTTAGAAAACGATTGTCCCTGTCATAAAAGAATCCTTGTGTCTCGGCGTGATTAACTAGATTCATTCGAGGCACCTCAGGTACCTGCAAAACATTCAGAGTGTGGGGACTGTGGGTAACAAAAGCCTTTAGAGACCTCTGTTCCTGGGAGAGATTTATGGGCTGGGAGCGACAGGTACACGGCTTGTCCCTCCTTCGGATTCCTACCTACTTAGCTTGTAACTACCTCAAACTGCAGAGTCCTGCGCGACAGAGCTCGGCCCAGGCTGCGCGGGAAAACCACCCAGCAGAGATCTTGGCAAGTTTGCTAGGAGAGCCCCGCCCCCCTTCAATTAAGAAAAAGGCTGGACGCGCCCGGAGAGAGAGCAGGGTTCTCGACTCCAGTTAAGTTCTGGGAACTTTTTCTCCCTGAAATCTCCATCGCAGATGAAGATAGCCCAGACCCAGGGCACTTTACTCCGCTGGTGTCAAGCTAATATCAGGGTCATATTAAACCACTGAAAACGCGGCTTAGACGTTCAGTAGAAATGATGGTGATTAGGTTGGCTTCCTGGTTCGCGGCTGCCCCAGTCAGCGTTTGCATGCAGGTGTATGAAGGCTGAGTGTAAAATATAAAACGCACAAGTAAATGAATATTCATGCAGCAAACTCCCGTTGGCCTGTCCAGCCCAGGCAGGAGGAGGAGCAGCGCTTCCAGCGGCAGTTTGGGCACCCGGGTCTCTGCGGACGCGTGGAAACCTGCGGGCCTCTCCGGCTGCTCTCCTCGCCAGCCGCACAGACCCAGGACATAGGCTAGTTTCTCGGGCAACCGGGTTGTTTTTATTTATAGGGATTTTGAGTGGCCTGATCATTCGGTCATTGCCCCAGCTCTTGCTCCTGGCAATAGTTGGGAAATAACTTGGGATGGGTTTTATTTATGGAAGGGCAATTGGGATTCACACCCAGCTAACCCAGAATAGTGCCTCCAAGCCCAAGACGCACTTACAAAGGGGTGCTTGTGTAAAATTCCCCATCAGACACACCAATTTGCAAGTAGCAGAAAGCATTGAAGCCTCATCTTTTTAAACTATTTTATTCAGCTTTTTTTTTTTTTTTTTTTAAATCTGAAAGCCCAAAATAGACTCCATGTGGTTCTAAGTGAAGTCAGCCCTTGGCTGGCTTTGAAATAGCTCCTGCAATTATGTAAAAGAGCCATTCACCAACAGGACGGAATTAAAAGGGATCTCGCCCGCTTCCCTTTCATTGCCAACCTCTCATGTTTGGCTTTTCAAAGCACTTCCAACACGATGTCTTTCTCCAGGACAAAAGGCGGAACAAAAAAAGTCCCCAAACTTGTAAATTGAACGTCAAGGGAACTTTAAACAATTTAAAGCCCATAAATAATGATAAAGGGGACTGGCAAAAAAGGCAAGCCCATTCAATTAATAGAGTTTCCCAAGCAAAGATCAAGTGGTGTATAAAATAAAAGTCTTTGGTTTCTTTATTCTGCTCCTTGACCATGCAGAAAGCGGGACAGGGGGTTTTTCTAAAGCGCCCAGAAGAAGAAACACTTTGCGGGACTGTGTGTGCCTTGACATTCTTATGTAGAAACTTTGCTTTTTGTCCCCACCCTCAAAGTAGCAGAAACAAAACAACTGCAAACCAGAAACGTGAAGGGGAGGGCGCTTTTTTTTTTTTTTCAGAGTTTTTCTCCGGGGAGTCGGAAAATGTTCTCCGCCTGCCTGAAGACCGAGAAATGTGACCCTTCACACCTGCGCTGCTCCCCCAGCGCGGAGGGACAGGCAGAGGCACACCCAGGTGGCCCGCAGGGTGAGCCCCGGTGGGAGCTGGTCCGGAGACGCGCGCGGCTGTGCGAGTTGCCCACTCGGAGCCGCCGCCCGACCGCGCACAGGCGCAAGCTGCGGGCTCCCGGAGCCGGGGCACACCCCACGCTGGGCTGGGCTGCCAGAGCCACGGCCGAGGCGTTCGAGGGCACAGTTTGGGGTTCCAATTCTTCGGAGCAGTCCTAATAGTTGGGGCTGGGAGTTGGTGAAACCCGCCTCAACAGATCACCCTGGAATCTCGGAGCTGACGCTCGCTCGGGGCGCGTCTCCCCAGGAGCACCCCGAGGGCCAAGGGAGAGGGTCCAGGCGCAGTTCGCCCACCCGCGGGCTCCAGCGGGAAAGAAGGGAGAGCCAGGCGGAGGCCTAAGGCTGCGCTTCCCTGGGGTGAGGCCTGAGGGGGGGGAAGAGGGGCAGTTAGGGCGCTGGCTAAAGGTCAGAGGTGTCGCAGGGTTGGCGTTCACTTCCGTCCAGCTGGCTCCGGACCTGGGAGGCCACGTCGTCTGGGAACCCCAGATTCGGGCGCTGGGGAGGGAGGCGCGGGCCGCCGGGAGCTTCTCACCTGGTTTATCTCCTACCATCTGCTCCCTCGAATTCCCGCGGCCCCACCTTAGGGGACTTCAAACGTGCCCCCGCCACCCGGCTCCCCGCTCTCATCTCCCGCATGGCAGGCATTGTGTGCGGGACTTCACAGAGATGCTAATCCTGGGGCCGCGTGAAC